GTGAGTAAAAACCTCACTTCTTCGGATGCATCCGAAGAAGTGAGGTTTTTACTCACGGAAGCTTATGCCCAAATAAATCTGTTAGTCTTTAAGGTGCCACCAGACTCCTTAAATGTGCTGGATACATAAGAAAAAAGCTGATTTAAAACAGTTTTGCATTTAAAACCATGTCCTTCAAGATTTTACAACTAGGAGAACTGATCTTCTCACACCTAGGACTTATCTGCACAGCATCGGCGAAGCATGCCAGAGTGGGTGTAATTTGTAAAGGTCTAATATGTTGTGGTCTAACTGCCCCACGTAGACCCTGCTGATGTGCACTAAAAAGTACCTAATTCACGTTAATGGACTATGTTAACATGAACTTGGCACCTTCTGGAACACAACAGCAGAGTGTACCCAGGGCAGTTAGAGTGCTTTACAAATCACACCCCTTTGGTGCACTTTGTTGGTGCTCTATAGACAAGCCCTTGGTTTTTATTCAGAGATTGGAAGAAGAAAACAAGCTTTTCTGCTTTTTCAGTTCCCAGTTGGTTTCTTAAATTTGAGTGAGCTAGTTGTTGAATTGAACTAGTTGAATAAACTGAAATGAAGAAAAAAATTCTATTTGCACCTACAGAAGTCGCTATGCTGTCAAAAGCTGGTTTAATACTTCAATAAACTCTGCTTAGCCAGTGACTTCAACCAGTTCAGTGGTGTGACTTTCTTTAAAACTTGCCAGCAAACACAGATTGTTTTTTGTTTTTATTGTAAATGATTTTAATGGACTATAATAAATTTAGGATCTGATATGGGTTGTTAGTGTCAGATTTAATTTTCAATAGGTTTATTTTTAAGACTAAACCTGAATTTAATTTAAATTAAAAACTCATTTTTTTCTAAATTGTTCATTTTTTATCCACTCTGGCTGAGGGTGACTCTTGGTTGTCTTTTAGATCAGGATGAACTGTTAAATCAAACAACATAACGTTTCTGAATGGCCCATCTTCAGCAATATCTCTATAACTTTCTGGGCTGTCGACATTTAGATATTTTTCTTTCTCCTTTTGTGGTGATAATTATACATAAGTGTCCTTTGTTAACATAGAAACTTTTGGTTAATTCTTCTCAAGTTAATAAGGACTGTATCGTTCCACTTCTGACACTTTTGTTTCATAGGCTAATGCCTGATTAATTGAAGCCTATGAAAGTGGTTATAGTTTTGCCACCATGTTAACATGCAGGAACAGTTCAAAAGTTGGAATCCTTTAAGGTTTATATCTGTACAATTATGTACATCTCTTAATTTGGAGTGTTTGGATCCAAAGAAAATCCATGGGCATATAGCAGAAAGTATTTGTAAATATGTAAACCACTGCACAGTAGGTACCCCGCCCCTATGAGGCCAATAACGACGAGAAGTTTGTTGGTAAAGGCTGTCCTTGACTTTACATATTGTTCTGTAACTTGCAAAGCCAGGCAGTGTTTTCTTAATTATAAATCCCTGAAACGGTAAGAGTGCTTTTTTCCCTGATAGGTGTATTCAGAAACTTCAGGTAAATGGGAATGGGATGGCAGTGGAATGGGTTACCTAGAGAGGTGGTGGAATCTCCTTCCTTAGAGGTTTTTAAGGTCAGGCTTGACAAAGTCCTGGCTGGGATGATTTAGTTGGGGTTGGTCCTGCTTTGAGCAGGGGGTTGAATTAGATGATCTCCTGAGGTCCCTTCCAATCCTGATATTCTATTATTCTATTTTCTGATTTAAATACATTCTTTTGGCTCTTAGCTGTAAACAATAATATATATAAAACTGCTCTTTTCTGAAAAGTGTTTGCAAAGGCCCCCACTGTTTGTGATCGTTTTTGTCCCTGCTCTAATTTCATATTAGCAGTATTGCCTGAGAACACAATTTTTAAACAAATATGCATCCCCTTTCAAAGCTCAAAGGAATAACATTGAAAATAGAGTGTATTTTTGTGCTTAAATTCCAAATGTGGACACAGTTATCACACTGAAATTGAGGTGTAAAATGATGTATGTGTCTTTCTGATATTCTTTATTTATTAAAAATGTATGCGCTTGGAAAGGGGAGAGGAATCACTTGTGGGAGTTCTCATTATGGCTTGTATTGGCAAAGCATTCAAGTTAGAATAACTCCCTTTGTACACAGCTTAAATGAGAAGCCATGTTGCTTGTCATTGTCCTTCTTTCAGAAGCAAATTCTGAGGTGGTGTGAGAATCAGGAAGGCAATATCATACAAAATAACATAGTGCTCATTACCATTTCCAATAACATTTAAATATGAAAGTCAAAAATTACTCACCTGAGAAGCAACATGTGAAATAGTCACCCCTCCAGATGCTGCCTTCCAAGCTTCACACTTAATATTATCTAACTCTTTCACCTGGAGATTTAGGGCTTGTTTATGCAAACGGTACATGGCAAGCTGGGATGTAAATCTAGCTTGCACTAGTCTGCTGTTCACTAATTATCTGTCTGGATCCTGCTCCTGTGTCAAAGTGAAGTAGATCAAAGTGCGCTATGGAACTTTTAGGGTGCAGCAGCAGGATTCACATGAACAGTTAGTGCGTGGCAAGCTAGTGTGAGGTAGATTTACACCCCACCTTGCCAAAAACTAAGTTTTCTTATAGATAAGCCCATAGTCTCTCTTTCCTTCAAATAGAATTGGTATCTGAAACGCTTGTCCCTACGGCTCTGAAACAATTCATGTTTAACCTGTCTTCTTGCAGTGGTGCTTACATACCCCAGAAGTCTAGTCCTAGTGTGACATCTGAGAGCCAAGTCTTTTGGGGTGCATTAGAAGAGTTGCTAGTGTACTGGCAGTGAATAGACAAAAATAGACTTGCAAATTCTGGGTGTACTAGTGGTTCTGCAGCACCAAATTAATACAGCTGAAAAGCATGAAAACCACCTTCACTTCTGCCGTCTTGAACTGTGAGTGCAGTTCCCTTTTTACTCTGCAGAAATAAATAAACTAACTTTTTCACGTCCTTCTTTCTTGTTAATAGACTAAAATCTACTTTTAAAGCAAATATTTGATAAACTAAATGATCATTTGACAGGATGGAGTGCAAGAAGAAATTCCAGAACTACCAGATCCATCTCTAGAAATGGGAATTTTGCCTAAAGAGATCAGAAAGCTGGTGGAGAGAAGGCGACAAGTCAAGCAATTGATGAAACAGCCAGATTTAAATCCTGACCTCTATTTACAGGTGTGTCTTATGGAAGAGCTCCTCTGCCTTCACTATACCTTATTTAAGTCCATTGGTCAGACTACAGAATAGGAGTGATTACTTTAATATTAAATGGAGGTTAGAAACAAATTGTAAGATGCTCACTTGTGGTTTAGAGAGGTGATAGATGTCAGAAATAGCTGTGAGTACTTGATAATATTGCATTCAACTTCTGTTTGGTGGTTATGGTGATTAATGTACTGGTTATATTCCTTTTCAGTATGATATCAGGCAGAAGGCTTTGAAGCTTACAGCTAATAGCATGTATGGCTGTCTGGGGTTTTCCTACAGTAGATTCTATGCCAAGCCTTTGGCTGCTTTGGTGACACACAAAGGGAGAGAGGTGAGTCATTAAATAGCTTTTTAAAACGGACAAGTTTGATGAATAAAAACCTTGATTTCATTCTTCTTTCTTTATGAAGTCTGTATTATTCTGTCTGTCTTCCCATCAAAACAAATGTTCCTTTTTTTTGTTATTTTTAAAAAGTGAGCAACCTAGCCACCGCATTTAACCTTACATAAAACAGTGTGAAAATATTTGGTTAAGAAATAAAATTTCAAGCTTCCAAGGGGTTACTGTGAATGGTTGGTGTGAGTGAGGCTAAAGTTTTAGTATCCTGGGGAAATACCTTGTATTTAAGATTCAGACACTTACTGTGCCAACTTCTTAAGTGAACTACAAGACAAATACAGTTTTGAACAAATTTATACCTGAATTAGTCTACAGTCCATGAGTTCCACACGCTTTTTTTTATATTCTCGCTAGTCATACAAGACCTCTACCTCATTTTGGTTTGTTTGACCTTTTTAATACTCATATTCTTGTCTCTCTCTCTTTTTTAATAGGAAAGAAAGGTTTGCTTGCACATAGCTATTTAAAAAGGCCTGAGTTTTTCAGAATGAGCTATGTTTCATACCTGTATATAATTATGGTAGAAACTGATGAAACTTATTCTGCTGTGTTCTAGAGAGATCTGTGATAGGAAGGGTAGGCAGTAAATAGGTAAGGAGAAATGATAATGTTTTAATAAGTAATTTTTCCACAGACCTAGACTCAGTTCACTCTTTAAAAAAAACTCTTTTAATCATTCTTTTTGGTTAATGCTGCAATACCATAGCTAGAAAGGAGAGTGTCTTAAACCATTTGATGTGTTAACCTCTTGGTACCTAGGTTTTCGCCAGCCACTTAATGCTAATACAAATTGCATTACTGTTAGTAGCAGGAGCTGTGGGCTGTCTGTATCAAGAGGTTAATGAGAAAAAATAATTTCAGGAAAAGTCCTAGGGATCTAATTTAAAGTAACATATAAGGTTTTTTTGAAATGTGATTAAATGGTATTTCTTATGATTATGCACCTGATGATACATGCATAGGTAAACAAGATAATATGAAATATCTCCAGGGAATGTATCTTGAATAGATGTAGGTCAGATTTTGAAATGCTACATTTTACTGTGTTGTCAAACCATCCTGTAGTTGAGGGCTGCACACTAAATATATTTGCAGAAAGATTCGGTGTGAAAAACACAAACAAGGCTGGAAATTCATATAGTGTAAAGTACTGGAAAGCTGTCAATATTATTAACTTTTATTAATAGTATTTTGGTGAGATTGGGTTTAGCTGTGAGGACATATTAGAAGTAGGTTGGACCACGCAAGTGTGTTGTGCTGGCTAAAAACTCAAGGATTACACATTATTCTTTAAAAACTTGTTTGAAATCATGTTGATGGGGCAGCAATTACCTCGTATGCACGCTTGGATTTAATGGCAAAAGAATTTCATGTGATGTGACAGAAATTCCTTCTATGAAGGGCAACATAGCTGTGCACGTGAGAGGTGCAGCACATACACCAGGGATCGCAGCCTTCGGCACATGGCCCATCAGGGTAATCTGCTGGCGGGCCGTGAGACATTTTGTTTACGTTGCCCGTCTGCAGGCATGGGCCGCCCCCCAGCTCCCAGTGGCTGCGGTTTGCTGTTCCCGGCCAATGGGCCTTGTGCCGAAGGGTGCTGACCGCTGACATACACCATCAACGGAATCTCTGATTCAGATCCCATCTGACACAACTGTAATGACATGTTGGACACTCAGTACAGACTGGTACAACTTGCAGGCATGTATAGGTTAGCTTTCAGTGCGGAAATTTGAGCAGCATGAATTTCATGCATGTGATTCCAACAAATAAAATGTAATTTGTAAAGTGACTAGTGTAGTAATTGTAGTGGTTGTTCACTAGATGGCGATAGATACCTTGAGATCATTAAACAATTAAGACTTTCAATCTTGTCAATAAATGACTGTGACCATCCTTGAGTACACATCCTTTTAAATTGATCTTCTATGATTTTTAGTTTGTTTTTATGATATAGAATATCTGTGGGGGTTGTTTCCATTTTAATCTGAAATATTACCTAGTATCTCAAACCTATTTGTACAAGTTTTATATATTCTGTAAGAAGAAAAATGTTTTCCGAAAAGGGAGAAAACTTATGAACACTGCCAAGTCAAATTTGGCTTTAAATGTTTATAAGCACAAGTGTGTGTTTGCTGAAACTGAAGACCAGTAGATATATTTTACAGGAATTATTTTTATAATCCAATGGGATTTAAAAAAACAATGGATTCTCTGCAGTATTTGCCATCCAAATGGGGCGTTGTTGGGTTGGATTATAGTATAGTGGTTCTGAAACTTTTACAGAGTGTGAACAAACCTTAATGAGTTTCATGGGCTACTTCTCTCGTGGTGACTACAGCAGTTGCTTGCATGGAAAAGTAATAGGAGAGTTTTTAATGTAATTTTAGCTGTCCTGTAATGTAATTTAGCAACTGGAAACAAGGAGAGGCAGTACCACATGATCAACCATCTCTCTGCAGACCAGTGACAGTAAGTATAAGGTCACTCTTTTTTCCAGCCTTTTTGACACATAGCCTTCCAGTGGAGAGTCAGATGTGTTTTGGCTTCTGTATTCACGAGTCCCTGGGAAGAAGGCTGTTTCTTGTGGGACAACAGAAGAGTTGCCAAACTGCTGTCTGGGGCCAACTTGGTTGCCATTGGCTGTGACCCCAGATCAGTGATCTTTCCACATAGTGGCATCTCCTCCAGGACATTGTTCTTTACTGTTCCAATCAGTTCCCCAAATGACCCACCTTCTTGGCCAGAAAACTGGACCACAGAGGGGCAAAATTACTCTTCTTTATTCCACCACAACTTATAGATAAGTTACAGAATTCATGTTGCAGTACATTAAGTGAAAGGATGAAGTTTGCCAGTCAGGTTAATTTCAAATTTCCTATTCAGATTTTTAAATTAATTCTTTAGTGATAATTTGCCCAAATTCCAAGGCACTGGTAGTCAAAGGGAGGAAAGATAGCATCTGCTTGTCACTAACTTCTGCGAAAGGAAGCTGGGGAGGAGGGGCAAGGGAAAGAAGAGAAAGTGAAATCAAAAAGCCCAAATAAGTTAATTGAAAAATAAAACAAAGGGAAACAGGCATAGTACCTTACCTACTCTCTTCCTTTTCTGTCCCCTTCCTCTGAGCTCTGGCAGCAGGGAAATATAGGCTTCATTCCATTTCTCCTTGAGAATTGTTCAGCTGGGGAAAGTGATCAACATCTGTTGTTGCGTTCTGGGCCTCTGATCTATCCACATGTTTTGACAGAGCTGATCTGAATGGGGCAGTTTGTCAGGCCTCCTTCCCCAAAATGTAGTGGGGGAGAGAGGGAAACAGATCCTCTTAAAATCTCATTAGTAGCTGCCTTTTTGGATGCCTTTGTGGATGCCATTCACACTCCCACTAGAGCTTTGACATCCAGTATGATTTTTGTGGAGGCACGCGACCTAGATACTTGAAGGCCCAAGCAGAAGAGTTCTTAGCTGATTCTAAATATTCAGGTGTTCTACGAAAGCGGTGCTTTATGATTTAGAGAAATTGAAGAATTTCTTGCCATCCATCAGACGTTGTAGGAGGGGCTATGGATCCTAGTTCAAAAGACAGCAGTCCTTTTGTGGTGCTTTTCTCCTTGAGATGCCACATAAGAGGAAGATGCAACAGACCTCAAATTTTTAAACAAAAACAAAGGATGTTCAAGAGGGACAACTTTTGAAATTCTGTCTGGTATCTCAAGGGTTTTTTTCTTTTGAGCTGAAGGAGGCTGTCTCTATATATGCATACATTTTTCACACATGACATTTTTTATAATTTATATATACTCATGACCATTTCCAGTACAAAGCTCTATCCTTCAGAGCCTCCTCTAGAGTTTCAGTATCCTGCTGGACAAGTAAGAGTCAGTTCTTCAAGTTCTGCTCCTTATGTGTATTCCACATGTGGGTATGCATGAACCTGAGTCCAGCGATGCCACAAGCAGTGTCTGTTGGCCCACACATGCGCAGTGGATCTCCTCATGCTTCAGAGCGACGGTATAAGAAGCTGTGCATGTTAACACCCTCTCAGTTCCTTCTTACCCCCGCATGGTCTGAGTCAGGATCCAGTGTCCTCTTTGGCTTCAGCATTTCAGAAAACCTGTAAATAAGATTGTAAATAGTTTTAAGACCAACTGAACTAAGCTAAAGAATAACTATTTACAATCTTATTTACAGGTTTTCTGAAATGCTGAAGCCAGAGAGGACACTGGATCCTATGTACAGACTCTTGGGCTTCAAAAATTGCATCTCCTGCCCTAGATCCTTCGCTGTCAGAGATAAACACTGACTCTCCCTCTACTGCCTGGGTAAGACGCACATTTTGGCCCTATGCAGCATTTGTTGCTAATTTCCACCAATGAGCTTTGCCTTAGAAAACATTTAATGGAGAAGATCTCGCATTTAATGGACTCTCTGATCTGGGCCAGGAAGACTCCACTGTACATTGGCCTCACCAAAGGAGCAGCTCTCCTCTGAGCATGTGCCCAAAGACTTCCTCAAGGGCTTCCCATAAGAGTAAGGGACATTCTCTCATAGATGCAAGGACAGATCCACATCTAGGACTGTCCATAAAAGATGCACTCCTTCCCCAAGCCTATCGAGTCGGTCAAGCCCTTACACATAGACTTCTAAGTAGCTGGCTCTGCAGAAAACCCCCAGGGTGGAGAGTAAGGTGTGTAGGAAGAAGGATCCACTGGTTCCATTGGTGACTCTGGTACTGAAGCACAAGGACCATCATTTCTTGTAGGTGCTGGAACTAGGGGTGCTGGGGCTGTGGCAGCACCCCCCTGGCTTAAAGCTGACCCCTCCTTCATCTCCACAGTCCGAATAAAGCCTGGACAGGTGATCTAGGACTTATGAACATGACCTGCCTAGGTGACCAATGATCCCCCCAGGCCATGGGGTCCCCCTCCAAT